AAGATTAAATCCTCTTTTAGAAAAGATTAAATATCATTATGGAGAGATCCCTCTGCTCCCAGTAAAGCAGAACCCCTGAGATTATGGTTTCTTCCTGCTGCCATGCCCCAGGCCCATTTCTGCCCCATCCCTGGCCCTGGTGATACGCAATCGCATGATTCACTGGTTCAAGGAGCTGATCCAGCTGAAAACCGCCTTTTTTTTTTTTTTGCCAGGTGAATTTTCCATTGGATCAGCTGCCTGAGCTGGCCTGCAATGCAACAGGGGCGGGTGCTAGATGGAGTGGAGGCACAAGAGGGCAAGATGCAGTGCTCAGAGGTACAAAAGCTGTGCTACCTCCATGAGCTCCAGCTGCAGTGCTACGCTGCTATAGGTGTGACCTTCTCCCTTCCCCTCTTCACTCCAAAAGAAAATGCCAGTAGTCCCTACTGTAACAGCACAGGGACAATCAATGTATTCTACACAAAATAGCTAACGCCATCTCCTAAACTGCTCAGAATCACTACACTGAGGTATGATCTGGGTTGCTGGGCTACACCCTTGACACCAGTAGCAATCCACTAAGGGGATGAGATACCAGGTAAATCTCTGTCTACAAAAGTATCACCTGCTTATGTTTCCTTTTGCCTTTTGCAGAACTTTTGTCAGACGGCTGCTTCTGGGATTCTCTCGTGTGCTTCTCTGGCACGTTTTTCTTTTCCACTTTGGGTGCATCAGCATCCTTGTAAGGCTTCCCTGGTATTCGTGATAAGAGGCTCAGGTCAATCTTCACAATAAGTGGGTACCTTTCATCAGGATCACTGAGTGGTGAAAGAAGCTCTTTCTCTTCCATAGGAGAGAACATTCTTTGCCGAAAAAAGCTGTCATCCTCCTCCATGGAAGATTTAACAGGAGTCCTATTGCTCTCAGAGTATTTGGGTGTTTGTGATGAAGGAGGCAGGCTCTCATTTTCATCTGAATCAGAGGATGAGGTATCTGTTTCTATGAATTCCCTGGATTTCTGGGCAGATTTGCTTGAAGCCTTGTATTTCTTTTTCTCTGTGGTAGGCCGAGGGGAAGATTTGGGCTCTTTCTTTATATTGGGTTTTCTGGAGCCTTTTGTGGCTGCCTTATGCCTGTTTGAAGGTATATTTGTTGCCATGTCTACTGGGGTTTCACTTTCTATTTTAAGACCTCCTCTAGGCTCTTCAACAGATGTCTTTTCTGCTTTCTTGGGCTGCTTTTTACCTACAGTCCTCCTCTGTGTTGAGCTGTCACTCTGGGCAGGCGATTTCTGCCTGCCACGACTGCCCTCTGAGCCCTTTTGGGTGGGTTTGGAATCTCGCCCCGGTGTAGAAGAAATCGAATCTTTGGATCCGCTTTGATCAGTGTACCCGCTCCCTGTCCCCTGATCCCGTCCCTCCTTTTTGTAGCCTTGGGAAGATGGGATATTGCTGTCCACGGAAGAAGCTGGTGACACTTTATGTGAATTAACTTTGTTCAACCAGTTATCCAGTTGCCACTTGTTTGTTGGTGGTGGCTCTGGCTAAAAACAAATTAAAACCCAGCATTAGATAAAATATTTCACATTTCTTCCATCTTTTCCATGGGACAGCTGTACTATGCTGCATGCTGGAACAAGAGGTACACCAAAAACCCCGAGATAAATAACAAATGAAATATAGGTTGATGTATATAGGTAACAAATAACAGCTCTCATTTTTCTTTCATCTGGAGCAGCTGCTATCAACAGGCAACACTTGCTGCCACAGCTTTCCAGAATAAAAGCCCACAGTTTTTTAAGATACTGTTACTACATCCAATTTCTGCGCTCCAATAGATAACCGGTGGTAAAAATCACCTCAAAGTCAAACATCAAATGTATGCTTATATAAAGAATTGTTACCATGTCAAATTACAGGTACTTCAGCAAAATAATATTCCACCTTGAAAGTGATCCCATGTTTTTACATCTAATTTTTTTTTAAGCAGCTTGAGGATTTATTAATTTTTTTCTGCTTTTAAAATTCAGGATTAATGCCAAGCTAATGAAGACAGCCCAAATACACGTCAAATCCTACCTCAGGGGATGCACTCTGTGATGGTTCATTAGCTTCACTATCACTGGAACTGCTTTCACTTTCAGAGTCAGATCCTGAACTGCTTTCAGATCCGCTATGGCTGCTCGAGTCATCCCTCGAATTATCTGCTCCTTCACTGTTATGCTGTGAAGGTTCAGAATTACTGAAAACAAAAATGAGGAAAAATAAACAAAGACTACCCAAGGCACAAACATATCCTAGGAGTTCTTTCATTAGAAAGAATAAAATGTAATAATCTAATTAACATTTTCTAGAAAATTCAACATAACTGAACACAGTTCACCCTGGAAACAAACAACAGCCTTTGTTTTTTTCCCCTTCCCAAAGTGGTTAGTATAATTTGCAGCATAGATGCTATTTAATCACTGATTAAATTCCAATCACCTTTTGCTTTAACGCAAGACAAAAGACAAACATGAATTTTAAAAATGAGATCAAGTCCAGCATGCTGACTGGGCTGAATATCACCACTCTACTTTCTATGCTGCCATCTACCATGAACGCCTACCTTCCAGGTGTGCTCCTTGGCACTGTCTTATCGCAATCCTGCAATTAAGAAAAAGAGCATGAAGCTTCTGGAAATTATTTTAGGACTGTATATACAATTAAGTTGCAAAGCATCAATTTAGAGCCTTTACATGTTTTAAATTAGCCTGAAGAACATCTTAATTCAGTACTTGCACCAGTTTAAATTTGTCTGCATTTTCCTTATACAAAAAGAAAATTTGAGTTCTTTTCTTCACGTTTTCACCACAAATCTTATTATCTCAGAGTCCTATATATTCTGACCATAGTTCTAAGAGTTCCCGTTTCCAACACTCACTAGTTTCCATCTTTTTCTATCAGATGATTCAACATTTTACAATGCAATTCCTGAGATGCCCTGAGTACTAGGAATAAAAACCAACTAAATGTACTATCTCAGAGTTTTCCACATGAAGAATATCAGGTATTAGAACTGGGAAACGGGAAGAAAAGAAACAAAAAGGGAGTGTGGATTACTGCTGGGTAGCACAGACCCTACAGGTATTTTTAATTTAGCATGCTAAATGCCACTTGTGGCAGAAGCTGCACAAAGTTAGTATTGACAAAGAGGAAAAAAGAGACTTTTTGATTAAAAAAAGGTGCTGCTATACTCCCAGTTACAGGTACAGTATCCCTTATCATTCCAAACACAGCCCCAAGCTACTAATGCACAGAAACGTTCACACCATGTACTCTTTAGCTAGAGTGGCAAAACATGAAGGGCTCTATCTTGAAATGGCGGGCCATTACGTATGTTTTAAAGTACACCATTGCCATGTTATGTTCAGACAAAGCTCACTTGACATCAGTAAAACAAGACTTCCTAGATAAAAGTGTACCTTTCAACAAAACAGATAATTTTCCCCAAATTTACATTTAGGAATACCTGAGGTTTGTCTAAAAACATGACATTTGATTTTTGTTTCATAATCATAAATCTCCTCTTAAGCTGCTCAGTTTGCTGTTAGAAAATTGAACACTGCCGAAGTACTGAACCTGAGTACATTCACTACGTTTTTCTGAAACTGATTTCATCAACATACCTGCTCTCCATCGCTGTCTTCACTACTGCTAAGTTTTAAGTCATCTTTCAACATACTAAGTAAAAGGGAGAAAGTGAGACAAGTTTTTCCGTGTACTTTAATTACTTTCAAAGCATTCTTCTATATTTCAACACACTATTGTTTATACTACAAAGTAGCCTGCGTGGGTGAAATCCATGAGATACCATTCTAACATTTGATGTTTAAGAATGGTGAGTTAAGCCATTGTTTAGAGAAGAATAAGGATTCTAGTACTTTGATTCCTTAGTCCATTCTGTTAAATTTAGAAAGGAAATTTGACACAATCTACTAATGCGGGAGGAGCTAACTTGTGCATGTTCAACTTCTTGTATACAACGGCCAAGAATACTGTTTTAAATAGAATCAAGAAGGCTAATATTAGTGGCTGTTTCCTGTTTCGTGGCAACAGTGCAACTGTTCTAAGCCATAATTATTTTATTATTATTTAAAGCCATAATTATTTATGGTAGTCATATACACACATGGTACTTCACAATACTGAAAATATGTGAACACACTGAAAACACAGAGCAGGGTACAGGGCCTTTGTGCTTATTGAAAAACACCTTTGATTACAGAAATTAAACATCTTACTCTGTCTGGTTCGATTCACATCTGGAGAAAGAAAATGAGAAAGGATTAGAAGTCTCATACTTTTGAGTTTCACAGTATAGCTGTTCTACTGATGATCTGAAAAGAAACACCAGCCTCTAGGATCTAGTTCCTGAAATATTTTTAATTGCTGTCCTTTTACAAAATATGTATTTATCTCTTTTTTTATGTTTTTTAACCAGATCACAATCATTTTTTTATTATTTAAAACCGTATTGTCACAGTAAGCATCATCTCAGCTTTCTTCCTATGCATCCCAGTTCAACATGTGTCCAATGCTACCTCTTGTTCTTAGAGTTCTCACATTCCCCAGCTTTGGAAATAGCACAGTTCCTTCTTAGCAGTCTATACTGCTATGACAAAAGCAAAGCCAAAAGGTGAGCTTCTATTTCTACCACTTGTTGAACTGGCTGCATATGAGCATCTTCTTAAACTACATGGTTTTGGGAAACTGACTGCAAGTCTATAATAATTGAGGGAGGTTTCTTTTTGCTCTATTCCCTTCTTATAGGTCATGTGCTTTTTAACCTTGCTAATACTGTAACGCATGCACAGACAAGCAGAAGAACTAGACTTCATTTTGTAACTGCATCACAACAAATGTTAACTTAGAATAACAAGTTTGCAGAATCTACAACCACTTTCATTAAACATACCATCAGCTGGTAAACCGTTACATACATGGACATATTTGTTTGAAAACAATCTTTTCACAGCATATAATTGATTTGCAGGTACGAGAAAGGTGAACTACAGCCACCTCGAATATTCCAGTTGCTTTTTATTTTTTCTCCCAGTTGCATGACTGGCAAAGTAAAATGTTGGGTCCATGTGCATAACTAATAAAAACGTTTGCCAGTCAGTTAAAAGACTGAGTAGAATAAACTTCACTAGATCCTAAATGTAGTTTGCTATCCTCTCCAATACAAGAGAGCTCCCCATTCTGTCTATTTGCGCAACCGCTACAAGCTGCTTCCAGCTGACATCACTGCAATGCACAGGTTTGCTAAGTCCCATCCCACCCTGCCCATTCTTACACAGAATCGTTTAGGTTGGAAAAGACCTTTAAGATCATCAAGTCCAATCGTTACATGCCAATACTGTTCTGGTTCACAAGCCAATTCTGAGGTCCAAACTCTTGCACACCTGTCCTGACAACTGACAAGAAAACAGAGGAACGGAAAAGCGGCACAGTGTATTTGTTACTCGCTCCGACGTGCCATATTTGGTCTACTGTCCCAGAAAATGGCTGCTTAAAAATGATGCCCTCTTTCTGCCAGTCAAGGAGAAGTATGCTAAAGAGTGTGCAAGAACTGATACATTCTAGTAGAAGAAACAGCTATTTTCCAAGTCTCTTAAAATTCAACTTTTGTTTGGAAAAATGTTTTCTCAATAGCCACTTACGATTTGGATTGATGACCATTGGATGTTTTTGATGAAGGATTGTATCGTTCTAGAAGAAGAAAAAAGAAATGCACAGTTGAAAACTCAGCCAGCAAAATAAGTCACTCCCAAGTTGTCAGAAGTAGAGAGTCCTAGATAAGAACAAATGATTCTTTTACTATGTAATCTGTTAATCACTTCAAGAGGGAGTGGGAAGGCTTTTGGAAGGTAACAGCACAAATCTAATTCAATTTTACCTGGTATGTTACCCGTGTTAAACTATTCATTTCAGTAATATTCAAAACAACCATACAGTTAAAGAGAAATAAAAGCTGCTTTTGTCTGAAATCTGAAAATGCATTCTGGGACAAGAAATTCAAGAATATTCCTAAGCATATTACGAGTCCTTAACCAGTTCTCTCTCTTGATTTAAAATGACAAAGTGAAAACGAACAGTGAAACTGCAATGTGCTTCTTCTATCGAAATATAAGCGTAAGCGCTAGTTTGGTTTCTAGTATGTGCTCAAGCAGGGAATTGGGTTTTTTTTATGGGTGTTTTGTTTTAGAACTCAGTTATTCTCAATTAGATCAACCATGGAGGCATTTTTTCAAGAATTAGAAAATGTGGCAAGTTAAAAATATCTTTTTTTCCTAGAAGACAGTAACAACCTTGCAACTCAGTCATAACTTCCTAGATCTCAACAAGAAATGCAGAAGAAAGTCAAGCAATTGTTTTATAGTTTAAAACCTGACAAAGTACAGAAAATCTTAACTTAGACTCCAATCTCATTCTCTAAAAAGCCTGACATCTTAAGAGACACTAATACTGAATCACAACAAAAACATCTTACAGGAAGTTTAATATACTTACTCTGTTCTCCAGTGCCAAAACTGGACTGCTGAGACTCCTAAGGGAATAAAAGATCACAAGCGGTTTTTTCACGGGGCATTTTAACATATCAAAAACCATGCTATAAGCAAGAAATTCTTTCTACTGAAAGGATGGCACCTATCCTCTAAAAAAGGAAAAAAAAACCTAACAACAAAACAGAAAGAGTGATTCTTCATCTGGGCCCCAAATCCTCTCACCAGCCATAACGGCACAGCACTTCACGTTTCCTCTTCCTTAGCTCAGCTCTCCCACTTGCTTGGTTTTAAGAAGGGCCACGTGCAGTTGTACTACATGATAGCTGAAACTCCAAAATCCCTGTGTAACTTCTATAAATCCCATCATGTATGTTTAGCATGGAGAGGAACCGTTCAGTGTTTTTCCTTATCTTATACACAGAGAAGCTTTGCTGCTAGTTTTATGCATTTTCATTCAAATTCTTTTCTCTGCATTTTTCTTTTTCATACACATACAGCATCGTGGTGGACAAGCAACGAATATAGTAACAACCTATCAACAACAACCAAAAAAAAAGCTGCAAAGGAGCCCAAGAAACAATGAAACTTAAAATCTGAACACCTCTGCACACCCTGCCCAAAAACCCCTTCTCGCAGCAGCTCCAGGAGAGTCCTTGATAAATGCAACCAGGCACAGCTGGCCAACACATCTTTCCTTCCCCCCAGAGGCCAGAGCTTCATGCAATCGGACAATTTGCTTGTACAAAAGCTAATAAACAATGACATGTAACTTCCTTTAATATATAATGAATCTGTTACCTGTACATCTAACTTGAGAAAAGATGAAGCCTTGCAAATTTTAGCACTTGTATGATCCTCAGTATTCCCATTCCATAAAACCCAATTCTGACTTTCAAGACACAGTAGATTATAATTCTTTTTTAAACCCTTAAAATATTGTTGTAACAAACAAATATGCCGAGGCTACTGAGTTACTGAAAACCTACTTCTAGGTTAGGGTGCCATTTTAAAATAGGACCTTCCTGACCTCATTTTAAAATGAGGACAAATGCTGACCCCATAAATAAAAATTGAAAGTATCTGACTTGATTCACAAAGTTATATACACACATTTTACTGAAATGCTCTGGCAGTGGCAAACCAGAATTACAATTCAACAATGAATTCCAGGCTTTTTTGTATACCTATGAACCAGTCTTCCCAACTAGGCAAGTCAGTGACATGCAGAAGTTATACACACAATTTAGAAAAATTAGTTTTTTAAACACAAAAAAGCTTTATACAGAAAAGCACACTTAAGCTATTTCTAATTTCCCTTAACTTTTTATTTCAAAAGTGAAAGTAGTTGCAATAATGCATTGAACAAGTATTTTGTTGATAGAGAACTTGATAGGGAACTTTCCCTGTAAGGTGTTTCAAATGCCTCTAATCTTCAGTAATTGAAAGAAAGGAAGGGACAATAAAAATAAAATTAACCTATGTTTAAAGTGAAGACGAAGTTGGAGAAAAGCCTTGTGTCTTCAATAGAAAGCAACAGCTATGCTTCCTTCAGAATAAAAACTTATTATCTTTTACATAGGTACGAGGAGCACAAGTGCGATTCCCCGACTGCCTTTTTCCTGTCAGCTTACACAAGTTGACAAACTGTAAGTGAAAATAGGTAAAGACCATGCAGTAATCAAACACCACAGCTACAGAGCAACTGTGCTGGGGTGAGCCCACGATGAGGAACTGGCACTCGTT